TTTTTTGTCACTTTCTCTTTTTCCTTGTCCATTTTAATAGCATCGTCGGCAGGTGGTCCCGTGGACGTCGCTGTGCCCGTAGATACGAGGACTTACTCGGCTTCCTCCCCACAACAGTTGCATAGCTCGCGTGACTGCAGTCCAATGCGGCGGAAGAGCTCATGCACACACACACACACATACAAACATGTATGTATAACTTGGGCGAGAAATTTAGCTAATACCGCTCCATTTTTCGCGGCTGGCGAAGGGCGGCGAGGAAGGCCTCTTTTGTGGCTACTTGCTTCTTCTCTTGGACCTTGTCTGCTGTCATGTGCTTCTCCTCCGTTTCAACCACCACACCTGCCTTGCGCGCCTGCGCGAGAGAGTTAAAGAGGCGCACCACACCCGCTGTGGCGACGTTGCGCAGACGGTACTCGTAGTCGTGGCGGTTCTGGTGGGGCAGCAGGCGGTTGTGGCTCTGGTCCTTGACGGCGCGGTGCAGCAGTTTGAGCCCCATCGCCTCCGCGGGTGTGCGCTCGGCGGCGACTTCGGTCTTTGGCACCAGCCTCTCCGTCCGCGCCCCGACGATCTCTATGGCGGCCTTGCCAACCGGCTTTTGCGCCGCCGCCGCCGCCGCCGCGGGGCGCGCGGAAATTTTAACCTGCGGCTTTTTGCCAGCCGCCGCCTCCCCCGCGTCGTGTGCGGCGGCGCCCGTCAGCTCCGCGATGCGCTGCTGCAGGCCCTCCGAGGAGAGTTTGGGGACCCGCCTCACTAACGCCACCGTCTGCTTCCCCTTCGCCTTCCGCGCCGCCCGCGTCTTTTGCGGCCGCGACAACTTCCCCACCGCGCCGCGGAAACGCCCAGCCATCACGCCCGTCTCCTTCGCTTGTCGTTTAGCGTAACTCCTCTCGGCTCCCCACCGCACTCATTCAGCGAGGGGGAGGCGTGAGCCGGGCATCACCCCCACATACGAAGAGAAGCAGAGAGAGAGAGAGAGAGAGAGAAAGGCAAAAATGTGTGATGCATACAAGCAACGCAAAGGGCGCACGCAACGAGTGGAAAAAGGCACCACGTGGGGTGGCTGGCTGGGGAAGAGAAGCAAAGTTAAACTTCATTAAAGCAGCACACACACACAGAGATAGCTAGAGAGAGAGAGAGAGATTTATATAGATAGGGAGGCGTAAATGCATGCGCACTTTACAGAGTACTGCTTTTTTTTTTGCCGCTTTCCCTCTTATTAGCGTTTCCCTCCATTAAGCGTGATAGAAAAGTTATGTTTTATTTTTCTTTTTCACTTTAGGTTCACTAGGCTCCCACCCGCTACTTTTATGGCCCGCATATTCAACTACACACGCACACAGAAAGAGAAAGATAGTGGGGGAGAAAAAAAGGGTCTGCGCCCCATACACACGGGAGTTCTATTTTCCCTCGCTCTGCCTTACGGTTGAAGACCCAGCGCTGCATGTCGTTGGCTTCTTCCTCCGCAGCGTGCGTGTGTGTGTGTCGGGAGAGAGAGAATGATGGCCCTCGTGGGCCTCTCATACTTCCCCAGCAGAGACAAGGAAAAAAAGCTCCTGTGAGGCCAGCCAGCGCGTTAGTAGCGCCGCTGGACACGACGGGCACCGCCACCGTTATAACCACTGCGGTAGCCGCCGCCGCCGTTGTAACCACCGCGGTAGCCGCCTCCGCCGTTGTAACCACCGCGGTAGCCGCCGCCGCCGCCGCCTCCACGGCCGTTAAAGCGGCCTTGGCCGCCACCGCCGCCGCCACGGTTGCCGCTGTTCAGCTCCCGTGCAATGATGGGCGGCAGGGTCTCAATGACGCTGAGTTCCATTCCACGGATGGGGGTTGCGAGGATCTGGTCCGCCGCCTCCTCCGGGACGTCAAAGACGCATCCAGGTGTTTCCTGCAAAAGTGTAATGTCTCTGCATCGCGTGAAGAGGTTGTCGCCGAGGCTGTTGCGGAGAATGCTGCAGAAGACAGGAATAGGCAGGGTGCGCTGCCCCAACATTTGCACCGTTACAGAGCCCTTCGCCCCAGTGATTAGACCACGTCGTGTGATGCTGCTGGTGTAGCCGCTCATAACTGCAATGGCGGAGGCCAGAATCTCCGTCGCATCTGCGTCCTTCAGTAACTCTGCGGCCTGATCCATGAAGAGGTTGGTGGCACCGCGCTCCACCCGCGCCAAGTCCTCCGCAGCGTCTCTTGCGACGGCCTTGAGAATCTCGTCCCGCGTCGGCGCGGGAAGCACCTCAAACTTAATCTTCGCATGCCGTTCAATGCGCTCCACAATGTACTCGTCCTTCGGCTGATGTAAGAGCACGCAGACACCCTTGCGACCAGCGCGGCCTGTCCTACCGGCACGATGAATGAAGGCGTCGATGTCGCTGGGAGGGGCGCACTGGATGACAAGGTCCACCATGGGCAGATCCAAGCCACGGGCCGCCACATCGGTGGCGATGAGAACACCGAACTTGTTGTCCCGAAAACTCTTCATGGTGCTCTCCCGCTGCTCCTGCTGCATGTCGCCATGCAACGACTGAGAGTCCAGCTTGGTGTTATTAATGGACAAATCATGGCAGTCCTTCTTGGTGTTCGTAAAGACAAGCGTGCGACCGTGACGCCCACTATACACCTTTATGAGATCTGCCAGCATGCATGACACCTCACTGAAGTGACACTTGCGGCGGTAAAACTTGATCGTGTTGGCGGCACGCATCGTTCCTTGCCCAACCATGTCAATAAACTCCTTGTTTCGCGAGATGAAGGAGCAGGTGTGAACCCAGTCCGGCACTGTGGCGGAGAACAAGAGGGTCTGATGGCTTGCCTTTTCCTCCGTCGACCCGTTTTGCTCCGCCACCTTCTGTAGGAGGAGCTCAATGTCGTCCTTGAAGCCAATATCCAGCATGTGATCCGCCTCGTCGAGGCAAACCACACTCACACGATCAAAGCGGAGTGTGCCTTTTTCCAAAAAGTCCTTCGCACGCCCCGGCGTCGCCACGACGACGTCCACGCCACTGTAGAGCACCCTCTCCTGCGTGCTGTACGCCACACCGCCGTAGAGTGCGGAGACGACGAATCCCTTACTGATGCCAGCAATGACGTCCCGCACCTGGATGGCCAGTTCGCGGGTGGGGCAGAAAACGACGGCGGCAGGACCGCGTCCCCGCACAGGGGGTTCCTTGCCCTTCGCCATGCGGCTGAGTTTCTCGACGATGGGAATGGCAAAGGCAAGCGTCTTGCCGCTCCCGGTACGCGCCTGCACCAAGACATCAGACCCTTTCATGATCGCCTCGTAGGTGAGAGCCTGGACAGGGAAAAGTGTGGTAATGCCCTGCCTATTGAGGACCTCAACCGTGCTTGGCAGCAGGTCAAAGTCGGAGAAGGGGCGACCGGCCACGTCAGAGCCATTGTTCGGCGTCTCCCCGCCCTCCACGTCATTGCTGCTTGCGTTCTGGTCATGACGAGCCCGCTTCTCCAGTGACGACTTCGCACGCTCGCCTCCTCCGGTCATTTCCTCAGCAGCCCTGCGAGGCATTTGACGCCGCTGCAGCTTCTTCAGCAACTTTGGATGTGTGAGTTCACTCGCTGACGCCCTGAGACGCCGTCCTTCTGTTTGGGCGGGCTTCGCGCGGGCCGTCGTCGTCCGATTGCCGTTCGCGTATCGCCTTCCCTGCCGCTCTGGAGTGTAGCGCCGTATCCGCACACACAAACACACACAGAGACTGAAAAAGAGGAACTTGCGTGGGGGCAAGTGAGTGGCTCTTGCAAAGGCGTAGAAACAACAACAACAAAAAAAAAATCTGCCGGCTACTACCCTTAAATTTACCCTTGCTGTATTCGCGTCGCCCTTTTGAAATGTTTGCTCGTCGGGTTCCTGCTGCTCCTCCAAGTCTCGTAGCGGCCCTGCGCGGCTCAGCCGGGGCGGCAACACACCGGGCAGGCAGAAACAGAGAAGAGAAGAAACGCGAAGCGGAGGAGAGGCCGCGGGAGGCGGACAGGATGGCTCAAAAACAACAACGACAAGAACAACCGAAACGGTCCCCCCCCCGGACAACGCACACACGCACAAAGCAAAGTAATGAGAGGATGCAAATCGCACAAAAGCGAGTACAGTAGAAATATATATGCAGACAGAGAGGGAGAGGCACGACGGCCGGGGCCACGGGAACAAACCAAAAAGGAAACATCCACGACGCCGCGTACTCCCCCCGTCCATAGACACAGCCACACCAATCACGACATCTATATCTATGTATAGATAGCCGGGCACATAGATTGTTATATATATATATATATATGTATGGGAAGAAGGAAATACGGGAGAAACGGAGAACGCACACATACACACACACGAGAGAGAGAGAGAGAGAGAAATATAGAGAAAGGAATGCAGTACACGAAAGAGAGAAAACCAGGGTCGGAGGACTCATGATATAAAAAGGTATGAAACACAGGAAATGGTGATATGAACGCAGCCAGCTACGCCTTTTTTTTCTTTTTAAATCATTGTTCGCTTAAAAAAAAATATTTTACTTTCTTTTGCTTTGGTATTCCTCTCACACCTCTTGTGCTGCTCAATATACGTACATGCTCCTTTGGCCTTTGCCTTTCCATGCACTCGCCTTTTGTCGCGTGTGGGTGAGTGGAGGGCTATTTCTTGTGAGTTTTTTTTTCTTTTTGGGGTTTGTGCACGACTGATGCGTATGCTTAGGCACACACACACACACACACACACATGTATATATATATATGTACGTGTGCGGGTGTGCCACATCGCTGCCGCTGAACGCTTTCGCCTCCTTTTCCCCTTTCGCTTCCTCTCTCTCGCTCCTTCCTTCTTTTTTTTTCTTTTCTTTCTCTTTTGCACCCTACGGGCAGAAGCCAAAGTATGAGGTCACAGAAGACCGGGATGTACCGAATGGGACACTAATGCAGCGGCCACCGACGGCGGCGCCGTTGTTGTCGTACATGGCGTTCTCCGGCGGCTTCATGGCGTCAAACGCCAGCTTCATGTATTCCCGATCTCCCATGAGTTCAGGCATCTTCCAGCCCTCCCCTTCCAACGCACCGCTACCGCCGTCACCGCCGACGCCGACGCCAACCTCCTCTGCCACTTCTGGATGGAACCAGTCGAACTGAAGCGCCTCCCGCGCCCGTGGCCGCTTTGCGGGGTCAAAGAAAAGGAGCGCCTTGGTGAGCTCAATGGCCTCGTGCGGCAAACTGCTCCATCGCGCCTCGGCGAAGGGGGCCCCGGCCTCCATCTCCTTGACAAGCTGCAGCTTGTTCCCGCAGTGACGGAAGGGAAGCTTGCCGACCAGCATGACGTACAAGATGGTGCCTACGGCGTAGACGTCCATGCGGGCGAGGAGGTCCGGCGTGGTGGCGAGTTGCCCGCCGCTCTGCGTGAGGCTCTTCACCGTCTCGGGCGCCGCGTAGTTCAGCGTCCCGCACGGTGTGGCAATGAGCGGGCTGTCGCAGTGGGAGTCGAGCGACTCCGCGCTGGTGGACTCCGGCAGGGCGTGCAGTGAGAACCGTGCGCCTCCCAAGCGTCGGCGTCCGGCGCTCTTGCGCGCGAGCGATCGCGCGAGGCCGAAGTCCACCAGCGTCACGTGAAACTCCTCGCTTCCCGTGGACGTTACTAATATATTTTCCGGTTTTACGTCGCGGTGCACGACGCCAACGACGTTGTGGAGGTAGTCCAGGGCCTCCAGTAGCTGCTGCGTCACGAATCGCACCTGCGCCTCCGTAAAGACCGTGTCGCGGAGGGCCTTAAAGAGCTCCGCCCCGTCCACGTAGTTCATGACAATCACAACATGGAGCGGGGTTTGAAAGCAGTCCAGCAGGCGCACGCAGTTCTTGTGGTTTATCCGACGCAGCACCTCCACCTCGTTGATGACGTCCAGCCGCATCTTTTCAGAGGTGAGGTCGCGCTTGTTGAACACCTTCAGCGCGACCGCGTCACCCTTCCGCAGTCCCGCCACGTCCACAAGGCCCACGGCCTTAAAGACCGAGGCGAACGTCCCACGCCCAATAAAGTCGTAGATGTCGTCCGTCTCGTACAGCTGGTTGATGTGCCGCTCCTCACGGAAGGGAAAAAGCGACATTTTGCGCGGCGGAGGGAGGGGGAAGGGGGTGTGGGGCGCGGTCGCACCTTCAATTCCTGCGCGGGGCGTGCACCACGCGTGTGTGCAGCAGACGGAAGAAAGCAGCAAAAATTAAAAAAGAAAAGAAAAGGAAAAAAGGGAAGCAATAACTGCGGCAGCAGTTACAAATCAACGCCCACGGCAGAAGCAAGAGAAGAGAAGGGAGCTCAGACCAAAGCAGCCTCAGGGGGAGAACATTCATTCACACACGCACACACAAACAGGCACAGGCAGACGACTACCCCTATGGGTGTTTTTATTGTGGTTTTTTTTTTCGTTTTGCTTCGTGGGTGAATGAAAGAAGCGGGATGCCCGTCGACACGGCTGTACATTTCTAAGCCTCGCTCTCCACAGCAGTGAGGCAAACAAGCAAACACACACACACACACCCCACCACTCACACAAGCACATACACGTGGAGGGATAGATAAAGCGAGAGGCTGGAAGCGAGTGAGAAAATGCGGCATGGCAAAGCTGCCTGGAGAAAGTTAAGGCAAAGGGAAGGAAACCACTGCCCCTTAACTCTGCGCTGTGTGCGCAGTGCCCATCCCACCATCTGTCACAAGTCCCACGGTCTGCGGCGAAGGCAGTGTTTGACGCCCTAACCCCAACCCATCCCCATCCCGCAACACACATGCGTGAAAGCGATGTCCGTTACGTCAAGGACTTCCAAAGGAGCACAGCCATTTGCCCCCACGTGATGTAAATGTACCCCTTCGTCTCGTGCGTCACAAATGAGCCAAAGTTCTTGCCAACAACGCAGTGCCACACGCCCTTGTACTTCTTCTGAAACTCCCGCTTGACAAAGGAGGCCATGGCGTACTCCAGTGTCTCTGTTTCAAAGGCCTGGATAACGAGATTGCGCGCGTCCTCCTGCATGTCCTTCGTCATATCCGCATTGAAGTTAAAATCCGCTAACTTTGTCATTTTCGCTTTCTTCCCCGCCCCCTCGCTTTCTTTTGCTTCGTTGCTCGGTCTGTATACCTGTGTGTGGGTGTGTTTGTGTGCTACACTCACTACCAGGCACAGCTGACGCGACACCTAAGCCAACAACACACATTCAGGAAGTGCAGAATTGCAAGTCATGGAATAATTATGCATGTGGCATGATGAAAAAAGAGCCACACGCGCGGAGGGAGGGAGGGAGACATAGAACCAACACAAAAAAAGACCAATATATGAACAAAAAAGAAACGCCGCAGACGACAACGTACATAACGCCTTGTAATGTTTACGTACATATGTTTGCTGTGCACGCTTGCGTGTGCGTGGGGAATGCTTGCGAGTTTTCTTTGCACGATCAATATATATATATACATATATATATATATATATATATATATATATGTAGCACTGATATTATGGGCTCTGCATACTCACCTCATACGTGCCCAGACAAGCTCAGACACATGACACTAGCAGAGAGAAGGATAGAGAAAAGTTTTGGCTCGGGGAAGATACCCCTGCTTTGCCGATACATACGTTGATTCTCCCGTACCGGGCAACCGCCGACGCACACACACACACGCACTTGCGCACACTATATTCCTCCCTCTTTTTTTCCCTCTCTCTCACACATACACAAAAAGCTTATCTCCCCGCCCGCCCCTTCGCCTTCGTTGCATATATTTTTTCCGCCGTTCCTTTTTGTTGTTGTTTTTTTTCCATTTTGGGGGAGGGGAGGGGAGGGAGGGGGAGGGGGGGGGGGGGTTTGACATATTCCTCCCCTTCTCGTTACGTTATTTGCCTTGTGTGCGTGTATATGGCCGCCTCAACTGTAGTTGCTTCGCTCGTTCTTATCCTCCCTTCGCTCGCCGCTCGGGGGAAGGCGCATGTGTGCCTGTATGTATGTATGTAGAGTGTGTGTGTTTAGGCTGTGAGGGAATTATTTCGAGAAGTCCTCCATTGAGCTTTTCCTTACTCCCGCCCATGCCAGATGCCGGCCACTGGCGCCCACCCTCGCACGGAGCTCTCGAAAATCAGATGCATCCAAGTACGTATATATGTATATATATATACATATATAATGCGGACTGCGGCATGCACGTGCACGTATGCAAGGGGCCATGCTTGACTGCGTTGCCTGCTGGCCTCTCCTTGTTTGTTTTGAAGTGCGCCTCGCACTCGCTCTCATGGACCGGCAGCCTTGCGGTCCTTTACGACTGCATCCACCAGTGACAGCACCGCCGCCTTTATCTCGCGCACCTCACGCGACAGCTCTACAAGGGCTTGCTGCGAGTACTCCTGCCTCCGCGAAAGCGACACGACTGCCTCCGCGAGTGTAGTGTTCTGCCGCGTGAGTGCCCGATTCGAGGCCGCAAGGGCGGCGTTGCGCTTCGTCAGCGCCTCGTTGTCGCCCACGAGTTGCCGGTTCGCCCGCAGCAGCCGCTCAGTGTGCAGCGTCGCCCTCCGCATCGCGGCCGCCAGCCTACACGCGTCGCCCGCGCTGGACGCGGCGGTGGAGACGTCGTCGGCGCCCCGCAGCACCTCTTCTACCACCGCCGCGTCGCTCTCGTCGTCTTCGTCGTCGTCGTCGTCGTCGTCGTCGTCGTCGCACGTGGCGCCGCCCGGCTTGCCGACGCTCCACTCCGGCCGCGCCCCCACGCCCAGCTCGAACTCCTGGCCGTGGTCTACAAAACTGCCCTCGCTGCTTTGGGCGTCCATGGCCACCGCACCACCGCCACCTCCCCCCTGTTCTCAGCCCCCCGCCGCCGCACAACGAGGCCGCCCAAAAGAGAGAGAGAAAGAGAGAACGCGCGCGAGCGAAAACAGCAAGATAAAAATAAAAGACAAGAAAAAAAATTTAGTGGGGTGGGGGGTGGGGGCAAGAGACGCGTGTGGAGGGTTGAGTGGCCCGCAGCAACAGGCAGAGGCACGCATGCAGTGCAGGCGCAGTTAGTAACGAAACAGTTTCCTTGCGGCCCTCGCCACGCAGCTGAAAACGACGGCCCTCCTCCCCCAGGGGGGCTGCGGTGAGGCCAGAGGCACGGCAAACAACTAAAACAAAAACAAAACAAAGGTGGGTGCGGGGAGTTGCAAGAAAGAAATGCAGCAAAAGAAAAGGGAAGCACACTTCGCCTCACTCTTCTCACGCAAGTAGATAAGGCCACCATAACACATGTTTCGTGTGTTTACAGAAATTTGGTGTGCCGCCTTTTTTTGTTTTTGTTTTTCGCGTTAGGGTCACTTTAATTCACTCAGGCAACGTAGTGCCGCTGGCGCTCACACGCACCCCACTTCGCTGCATGCACTTGCCTACCATCTCACAAAGTCTACTCCCGCCTCCATTCCAGGCGGACAGATGCAGGGAAGAGAGAAAAGACGCCGACACAGACAATAAAATATTTAAAAAAAAAAAGACAAAATGACACGCTCTGGGCAGGGGTTCAGCCACTCGCCACAGGTTTCATCGCTTCTTCTCTCGCCTACGGGTGCTACTGTGCCGAGGTCCCGCCGTTAATCAAACCCTGGGCGGTGTTGAACAGGTTGACCGGCGACTTCCCGTCCGTGATGAGGTAACCCTTGAGGCCTAGGCCCCCAAGCAGCTTGGCCTGCATCTCCGGCCCGGCCTGCGCCACCGCCACAATCGTCTCACGCCCAATGGCGGCCACCATGCGCCGCACCCGCTCGGCCTCGGTTTCCGCCAACTGGCGCGCCTTTATGATTTCAATTTCGTTCTGCCGCTTCGTAAACTCCAGTTCTAGGTCCAGTTTTTGCTTCTGTCTCCGCAGCTCCGCCTCGGCTGTGATGCGGTAGGCCTTCGCCCGCATCTCCGCCTGCTTTAACTCGGACTCCACCTCGATCAGAAGCGACTCCGCCTTGGCCTTGGCCTCCGCCACGGACTGCCCGCTCGCCTGCACCGCCTCGCTTTGCGCCTGCAGCTCCAACCACCGCGTTTTTGTCCGCTCCACCTCGATCTTGTCGAGCAGCTTCTGCCGCTCTAGCCTCCCCCGCGCCTCCTGGTCCTTGCGCTCCTTTCCGTGGCGTGCGGCGGCCTCCTGGGACTTGGTCGTGATCTCAATCGCAAGCTGCACCGACTTCTGCAGGCTGTCCCGCGTCTTGGCGTCTGTCGGCTCCACGGACTGGATGTCAATGTTCGTCACCACCAGGTTGTTTGCCGTAAACAGCAGCGAGTTCTTCACCTCACCGTTCTCCCCGTGCCCAAAGACGGCCTCACGAATAATCCTTGAGGAGTTACGGTGAAAGGAGTCGAAGTCCTCCGCCGCCACCGCGCCACGAACACGCGAGGCGATCGTCTTACAGCAGTCCCCAATAAAATCCGGCACGGAGAATATCTTGGAGTCCGGCTCCTCACGGTTGACGTCAAAGTGCCAATTGTAGGAGAGATCCAGCTCTAGGCGGGCGTGGTCCGAGGTCTCCACGACGACGCGATCGCTCGAGAAGCGTGGGCCCAGTAAAAGCTGCAGAGTGTGTAGCGCATCGGGCGCCTTTGGCTTTCCTCCACTGAGTGACAGCACCGTGAACTCCTCGTCAGGGGACAGCACAACCAGGTTTGGCCCAAGCACCACACGGAGTTTCTTCTGATTATAGTCGTAGATTTGTACCGCGGCGTTGTGTTGGACGTTGAAGCGAACAACGGAATGCCGCACACGTGTGGTGGCAATCGGCACATTTTCTTCCCTTTGCTTCGAGCACCCGTTCGGCGAGGAGAGCAGCATCTCCACCTCTGGTGAGAGATGCTTCTCCCACAGCACCTCGTTCTCGTTCAGCATGTAGGGCTCCCCCATCACGACCCGCACCACCCCTGTGGTGGTGTCCATGACGTAGATGCCCTCGTTCTTGTCCAGCGCGATGACGCTCCGCTGCTCCAGAATACGCACATTCACGTCAGGGATGTACTCGGCGGGGCCGTGCAGCATCCACTTTTCCCCAGGGCGTCGAAGCTGTCCGTGATCGTCAAAGGAGTCAACCGCCTGAAGCAAGAGCGCCTGATCTTTGCCAACCACCTTCATCGACTGCACCTCGCCAATCATTTTCTCGTAGGGGCGCAGGAAAAAGCTGCACTCCCCTCTGCGTACTTCCCTTCGTCCGAACTGGTTCACGCCATCCGTGCCAAGCGGATCCTCGACGATGCAGTACTCCTTTGCACTCAACACAGTCGCCTTGACCACGCCGACGACCTTCTCGTGTACGTCAGGAATGTGCACTGAAGCGTCCGCCTTGGTCACCAGCCACTTGTCCCCGGCATTCCGTGTTTTTCCGTAAACGTCCGTGAAGGTGGCGAGCGCCTCAAGCTGGAGGGCCTTTGCGTTGGTAAGCGCAATGCCCTCCACGGTGCCGACGACTTCTTCCTCCACAGCCGGCAGGTAGGCGCCAACGCTTTTTACCATCCACAGTTCCCCCGCCTCCCGCGGCACACCGTCGCGGTCCGTGAACTTCACCTTGGCACAGAGGTGCAGCGCCGTGTTGGGGCTGATGATCTGCGCCTGGACCTCGCGCATCACCTCCACCTCGACGCGCGGCACGTACGTCTGCGGCCCCTCCACCAACCACTCCATCCCCGCCCGCCTTGCGACGTCGTGCTCGTCGGTAAAATCGCGGAGGCAGCGCACGTGGTAGCCCGTGTTGGCGGGAATCACCTTCAGCTTAAAGAGCCACTCCTCGTTTTCCTGCTTCAGCACCTCCCCCGGCTCCAGCGCAAACGGCTGCTGCTCAAAGCGAATCTCCTCCTCCCCCATGCGCAGCATCACACTGGAGTTCGCCCCAAGCACGGGAGCCCCAGACGCGTCCCGCACGCAAGGATTCTGGATGACGCAATAGCACCGCGGTGGCACAACCACGCAGGGCCGCGGGGAAAACAGACACCGTTCGTGTTCCTGGCGCGTGTACACCAGCGGCCCCAGCAGACATCGCGTAACGTTTGTGTTGTTGTCCAGCAAATGCACATAGTTGTTCCTCTTAATGCGTATAACGCAGGCTCCACTTTCCGCTTCGTTGCTTCTGCCCTGCCCCGGTTGGTCCATACTTCTGTCAATACACACACACACACGCACGCCTGTGCAGTGGTTTCTGACAGTAACGGTACGCAAGTAATACCAATAATACTACTAATAAACGCTTTGAAGTACGGCTCCGTCACACCTCCTAGAGATTTATCCTTTGGTTTGCGTTTTCTGTGTCACTCGTATGGATGATTGCTACCTCGGCGCCAGGGCGGCGACACAGAGAGGGAGAGGGAGAAAAAACGAAAAGGGCAGAAGAAACCAGCAACCCAAGAGCGTGAGTGCAAGAGGAGGGGACGGAAAAGCAGGATCAAAAAGCAATGAACGCCGTCGCTCATGCCGCCCGCAAGCAACGCGTGTCCCCCGCCATTCCTTTCCCACTCGCATTCCTCGTCCTTCGACGAAGAAAAAGAAAAAGAAAGATTTATGCTGTTCTGCAGCAGGACAGCATCAAGCGTATCTGAAGCGTCTTGTGGAGAGGGAAGCCGTCTCGCGCTCGCTCTGTCCCTCTCTCTCACACACACGCAGCCACGGACGCAGCGAGGGAAAAAGAAGGACGGCGGGAAGGCATACACGCACTCTCGTGTAAGAGGGGAGCTCAGAGAATTAAAAAAAAAACATACCAAACACAGTAGCAGGAACAATAACAGACAAAAACAACAACAAGAACAAAAAAAACATCTATCAAATTGTTCAATCCGGGCCTCACAGAAGTGTGAGGCCCCGGCTCAGGAGTGCAGAGCACAGATGACGCCTCACCGCTGTCCATGGTATCGCCCAATTCAGGAGGGGATCCGTTGTCATGAATGGTTGCGTGGAATAGACTGCAGTTTCCTGTAGAGCCGTTGGATCAGCTGATCACGTTCCCGCAGCTCGCTCTGAAGCTGGTCCGTCTTCTCCGCGAGGCTCTTGCGCATCTCGGCAAGTTGCTTGTCATAATGCGTCTGCATGAGCTCTGAATGCGTCTGCAGCTCCTCCACTCGGGCGGCCGTAGATGCATGCTGAAGGCAGTAGTCCTTCAAGCCACGAGTCTGGATCGCCAGCTCCTCCTGCAGCTCATCCATGCTACGGAGGTCCACGCGGAGGTCGGCAGCGCGGGCGGCAACCTTCTCCATCACACCGTATAAGTCGTTCATCAACGCCACCATCTCGCTGGGCGGAAGCAGGTGAAAGTACGACTTCGCCTCCCGCGTGCGGTGCAGGAGGGCATGTATGGCGCGGTCCACCGCCGCCAGTTCCTCACTTGCCACTTCGACCGCCTCCTTCAGCGAGGCCCGTCGCGCCTCCACGCCCTCAATTTCATCGGAAAGCATCGACCGTCGCATGTTCCCAAAAATTGTGAGATCCAAGGCATCCTCCTCCAGCAGGCCTTGAAAGGGGCGGCCCAGCAGCTGCTGCGGGATGATCTGGCGAAGCTGAAGCTTCTCCTTCTCATACGAGTTCGTCTCCTTGTTGAAGGAAACAATGGGCTTTTCCCCGAGCTCCCGGACCCTAACAGGACCCAGCTCATGCAGCTCTGCACTACACATTTCCCAAACAGGCCCTGTCACAATTACTTGACCTCCTTGTGCGAGGGAGCAAACGTGAATGACCTGCGAAACTGCACGACCGTAGTAATGACATCGGTATGAATCTCCACACGGGATGGCGGTTGGCTCCACAAACGCATCGCCAGTGTGAATTGCCATAGACAAACGCAATCCACGATACATCACGTTATTCCCTTCATCAAGCTCCTCCTTGCCCCATGCACTTCGCAATAGAGACTGCGGCCACGGCAAACTCATCAGCCAACATTGTGACTCTACACAAAAACGACAGGCGGCGACAGGATCGGCAAAGGCCAGCAACATGGATGCCCCGTCACTGTAGCATTCGTAGGCCCCATACTGGGTCATTTTAGGACGCAGTACGGAATTCATCAGGGAGACCGCGGTTCGAGCCAGCTCAGCGTCTTCAGCCCACAGTTGTCGTCCCCTACAGACAAAGAGGCATACAAAGATGGCACACTTTTGCGGGGGAGCCACTAGTCCCGAATTGGCAACCGCGTCATTAAGATCGTCGCTAAAAAAATGCAGGCGGGAAATGACGCCACTAAGTGACTGTCCAGCCTCCATACACTTTGTTTCAATCTCCTGGAACGCCCGTGAGAGGCGCTTTTGTTTGTTGGCCAACTCCTCTAAAGCCTCTATGGATGCCGACCCTGTGGGAGCGCGATCCTCTCCCTCCGCTGGATGCATAAGCTTTAGCTGCAGCAGGCGATATACAATGCGCTCCACCGTTACCTTGGCATTCGGATCCTCCATGAGGCATCGCGGGGCATACAAAGCAGGGGATTCGTGCAGCTCTGGATCATGCGGTTCCACGGCCCGCTCCGGTCTAGACTCTATAAACTTTGTGTAAAACTGATCAAGCAGGCGAAGAACGTAAGTGTTCCACTGCTTTAATCGCTCCAGCACAGACTCGCGGTCCGCCAAAGCCACAACCAACCGTTCAGTAGCGTGGCTTGCCTCCTTCAAAGCAGCGCTGCGCTCCTCCGCGAGTCGCTTGTTCGCCGCCTCCAGTCTTTCTCGCACATCATCGACGCGTTTCTCAGCTTCACGAAGGCGCTCCTTGTAGTCTGTTTCAATTCGTTTTGTGAGGTTATTGGCCCGTGCCACTTCCTCCGCACGGCGCTCCTCAGCCGCCAGGCCTTGACTCTGAAGAGCCTGAAGCTCATTTTTGAGCTGCTCCACCCGAGTTTTGCATAAACTCTCCACGTACTCCAGCTCCCGTGCCGCGGCCTTCTTGACATCGTCGACTTGCTGCTGGTAAATCCTGGTGAGCTCGCCGCAGCGTTCGCTCAGCAGACGCTTCTCAGTCTTCAGTTGTAGGAGCTCCTTCTCGTGCTGGGACTTCAGCAGTCGCAGCTGATGCTCCGTGGAGGCCTTTACCTCCTCCTTTTCCTCCTTCGTTGTCTTCAGCGCCGCCTCGAGCCGCTCCACCTCCTTCTGCATCTCAGCCAACTTCCCCTTCGCCCGCTCATCGGCGGCAAACTCCACATACTTTGCGTCGTGCTTTGCGTTACCAAGCTGCGTTCGCAGGCTGGAGCACTTGCGCAGGAGTTCCTCAATCTCCTTTTCTTTCAGCGCCAACGTTGCCGCGCTGCGCTGCGCCGCCGACGTTCGCCACGGGCGCTCCAAGTCCGGCCGGTGGAAGAGCTCCTCCCCCCGCTGCACACCCGTCAAAGTCTTAAGGTACGTGCCAGGGACGCGGTCGGCGGCGTACACGCCCGTCGTTGCGGCAGCGCCAGGCGTCGGTGGCGTTTCCAACCCGTTAGGCGGTGGAACAACATCCTCCATGGGCGCTGCTTCCCCACCTACTGCCCCAAGCCGCCCCTCCTCCTCTTCCTCCCCTTGCGCTTGTTTCTGTAGTTATAGTAATGGACCGAGACGCGTATCTATCTAACGCTACGTATGCGACGTGACGGGGCGTGTGTGGCTGTCGGTGACCGTACTTACTCTACGCCTCTCGGTTTCTTGGCGTATTTGCGGGGGCGGTGGTGGCTTTCCGCTTGGCCTGTGCTCCCGCGCGTATTCCCTCGCCTCCTCCTCCCGGCTCTGGCACCGCACGCAGCCCCTAAAGCCCACAACCTCGTGAGCAAACAAACAAGCGCAGAAACGTGCAACAGCAATGGGGGAGTAAAGCGGCCAAGTGTGTTGCCAGAGCAAAAATCATGAAGGAAACAGAAAACAAAAGCAAAAAAAAAAAAGGATGGGTGGGGAGGGAAGGTGTAAAGTACATTTAAATTTACATTGCTCTTCCCCCCTCCCCTGCCCTCCAACTCACCCATCCTCTTGCATGCATAGAAGCAAATACTGGAGCTTTTTTTGTTGTTGTGTGTAAAAACAAGGGAAGTAGGCCAAATGCTTAGACTTTGCACACACACACACGTGCACACAGGCATGCAAGAATAGACAAAAGATACGTACAGGCAACCACCCGCGACTTCTGCAACGTCAGCCGAGTTTAATTCATGCAACAACTCCTCCACCCACGCCAAAGTGAGGTGTGGCGCACACAAACAACTATAAATACATGCCTGTATGCCATTTTAATATCCTTCCTGTGTTCTCTGCTTCGGTCTCTTCAGCAAATACTTCCTTGCTCGCCCCTATACATTGTAAATTCTCTCTTTTTCTCCCTCTCTCGTTATCCTTTTTTTTTTGCTCACTTCTCCCTTCCACGCACGCATACATGCATAAACATCTATGTGTGTATGTATGTATATACGTACGCGTGTCAGGTGGTGTTGGCTTCAATGATTACATCTCGTACGGGATAAAGTGGATCTCCAGCGTCTTCTTGAGCCGTGCGACCTCGTCCTCGACGGACCGCACCTCTTCACGGCGCCGCGCCTCCGAGCGGCGTAGGTCCTCCTGCAGTGCCTCGATCACTTCTTCCTGATTTGCAATGCGGGCCTTGAGATGGGTTTCGTTCTCCAGGGCCAACTGCTCTCGCACCTCCATCTCCCGCGTCAGCTCGCCGACCTTCTCGCTGAGAATCGCAATGGTGCCCTCGTACGTCGTCACCTCCCCCTCGATGGTCCTACGGTGCGGAATAAAGTGCGCGTCCAGCAGGTTGCAGAGACGCTTGATCTCCTCGTCCTTTGCCGCCGTCACCACCTCCAGGCTCCGCTGCGCGTCCTGTAGCGCCGTCTGGAGGTGAAACGTCGTCGACTTCAGCACCGCGACCTCCGACATGAGCTGCGCCTCCCGCTCCTTGGCGGCATCATGTTTCTGCGAGAGGCTGCTGCGCACCGCATCGAGCTCCTTCTCCTTCTCCCTCGTCTCGTCAAAGTTTCGCGACAGCTCCGTCTCATGCAGCTTCTGCTCGTGTAGTAGCTTCTGCTGTAGCTGGGAAATGATGGTCCGGTTATTTGAAACTTGAGCATTGAGAAAGGTGATCTTGTCGAACGTCTCCCGTTCCTTGCGCCGCAGCAAAAGCTCCAGCTCCTCCATGCGCTTTTGGCTGGCCTCTAGGTCAACAAGGGTGTTCTGCAGCTCCCCCTCGAGACTCGCCCTGGTGGTTTGCGTGGCCTCCGCCTCCTGCGACGCCCGCTCCTGCAGGGCCTGTAGCTCTGCGACCAAATAAGCGGAGTCGCTCCTGACCTGCTCTAGTTGTTGCCGGTACTCGCGCAGAACGACGTCGGATTTGAGTTTCACCTCGGCATTTTCACTGTTCAGGGCCTCAACCTCGTCCCGTAGCTTTGCACACCTCGTCTCTAGTTGCAGCACCTCCTCCTTTGCCATGCCGAGGCGCCGGCGCTCCTCCTCAAACCGCTCTTCGTACCGGCGTTTATTTTCATCGAGCTGGGCGTTGAGCAGTTGCATGAGGGTCACATTTTTTCGATCGTCTGCCTCACGCGCCTCCACGACTTCCTGCAGCGATCGATTCATTGCGAGCGCCTTCTCCAGTTCTCGCTGCAGATTCCCAATTTTCGACACCTGCCCGCGTATTTCTGCCTCCTTGTTGTCCAGCGTTTCCTCCATCTTCGCCGCGTACTCGGCGTGCTCCGCCTTGAAGACGCCAAAGTCCGTCCGCACCTCCTCAATTTCGTCGGAGAGTGACTTGATATTCTTGTCAGCCTCCTCGCGCACGCTGCACAGCTTCAGCTCCGCGTTTTGCCTCTCGTGCAGCAGGAGCCGCTGCTTCTCCTCCAGCTCCACACGCAGCAGACTCACCTCGTTAAGCAGCGAGTCCCGCATCAAGACAAGCTGCTCCACCTGACTCTCCGACGCCGCACGCTCGTCACGCAGAGAGGTGGTGAGCTGCTCCACCTTTGCCATGAGCTCCTTCACCTTGCCTTCCTTCTCACGGATGATGCGGGCCTGTTCCTCCTTCCACAAAATGAGACGCTCCTCCTGCTCCTCGCGGTCACGGCGGTCATTTTCACGCTTTTGCAGCTCCTCCGCCTCAGACTCCAGAGCATACAGCTGCTTCAGGCGGAGGGCCTCGGCGCTCTCCTGCTTCTTCCCTCCCTTCTTCTTTCCCTTCTTCGGAGGCATTTGCCGTGCCACGGATTACGCACCCCGGCCTCGAGCTGCGACCCGCGGCCA